GACAGGGCTAGCTGGAGGGCTGGGCCAGGCCTGGTTCCGGTGTCCCTCTGGGCGAGCGATGGCCTCCACCTCCCCGGTGCGGTCAAAGGAAAATGAAAAAGTTGTTCTGGAAACGAAAAGTTCTCCTGGCGTACGATAACGGAGGAGGGAGCAGTCCGGGGCGAGCTAGAGGAACGAGAAATAGAAATAAACAGCACAGAACGGGAAAGCAAGATTTGAGTAGCCGTAAGGAGTGGGGAGCAGGTGAAGCAGCAGCATGGTGTGGTGGTTTTGCTTTTGCCTTAGGTGTGTTGATTACCAGTGGGTGATCCTGAAAATACCGTCCTTGTAAAGTGGCAAGAACAAAACTGTTCCGATAGCATCTCACAGAATCAGGGGTCACCCTAAAACGGGCTTTGGATTGCTCTGATCCTTGGGAGTTTGTAGTCTTTGCCTTTCTTCCAACCAATCTTAGACTGGCAAGGATTAACGGAGGGCTCTAGAATTTGTGGGGGGGTATCTAGATTCATTTAGCAATTTTGAAGCAAAAAGCAGGCCCCTCAGACCACTGGTTTGCATTTTTTAGGAGGTAAAGGTGTCGTCATTTTAAGGCTGCAGTTGGAAGAGATTAAGCAAGCGTTGTGGTTTGTGTTGAGTCTGGTGATATTTTCAGAGTGATGATGAGTGTCAGGGACAGTTTGTTGCTTTATGTCTGAGGGTAGGAATTAGCGCTGGCTGTTCTCAAATGGATGATTTAGCAAGACTTAGTGACCATTCTGCCAGGTAATAGATGTGCTGCTCTGTAATAATTTAAGAGCTTCTACCTTCTCACGCTAGGCCTCCTACCTTAACTTGAGGTCTGTGACACTTTACCTCCCCTTTCTTACTCTTTCCGTTACACTCTTTGACTCGGTGGCTTGTGTTATTTTCATGCTTGACTTTTTTTCCTGCTTTATTTCTACTCCTTTGCTAACATGAGTAAATCAAAGTAAACGGTTACACATCATGTTCTCCAGTGGGCAGATGTATGTGAGTGAAGTTACAAATACTTCAGATTTGTGCTATTAAACAACAGGCTCCCTGTTATCATACTAAACTGAACTTAGTAGACCTGTCCTGCTGATTACTCTTGTCCCTGCTCCATGCTCTTTAATTTTTATATGCTCATCTTCTGGGATCAGCTGTGCAATACTACTTAAAACAAGAATTTTAAACTTTTAACATAAGTGTAGTGCACTTGAATGAACCCCACTTAATTGCTCTGGAGACATGTCATCACATTCAAAAAGGCACAACACAGACAACGTACAGCTCCAAATACATTCTCATTCTGCAAAGGAGTAAAGATGCAAAGAAGAGGAAAAAATGGAGAGGGGTGGGAAAGCTGAGAGAAAGCTCCTCTCCACATTGGTTTAAGAGAGTGTGGATGTTTTCTCTGGTGGTCTAATTGCAGTAGTTTTGTCCTCAGAACATTTTTGTTGCAGATATGTTTTTAGGTGGGAGATTGCTGAAAGAGAATGAGAAGCTAGTGATGTCAGATTTTCTTGGAAAAAGGAATCTAGCATGGGGAAATGCTTTCCTTTTTAAAAAAAGAATAGATATCAGGAGACACTGAGAACGGTATGGAGAAAAAGTTGATGGAAATGATCAAGGGAGGAGAGTTGAGATGGGAAAGAGCTGTGTGATTCATGCAGAGAAACATGATTTATTGATTTTTACAGTTAATAGGCTATTTTTGCTAGATAGACTTGTAATAAAGTTCATACAATGTTTTGAATAGGGTGAGAAGTTTTTATGAGGACAACTTACAGGCTGCTTCCTCAGTATGTTTCAGTGGTGTCTTAGCGTGCCCTTAGGTAGAAGTTGGAGGCATCACAGTGGGCTCCATTTTTGGCAAAGTTCATGCTGTAATTGTTCCCGTGACTGGAGTTTAAAGGTAGTCTTAGGCAAGCTGAGTGAGATCGTCTAATAAATTGATCGTGGTAACTTGTAGTTCAGTGTAGGTGCTTTTATAGTCTGTGTTGCTGTCTGTGGTGTCCTAGTTAGACTAATCATTGTACCCAAATTAGCGCAGACGTTGTTTATGTGCAGGATTCCGTACTAACAATTAGATTGATTTCATACAAGGCGTGCAGGACTTCAAACATATGATCAGTGTTTGATGGTTTGTTTGCCTTAATTCTGGGGTAGCTTGCAGTACTCAATTATCTTAAGAGTTGTGGCTCTTCTGTGTTTCCTTTTGCAGGAGGGTCTGTATACCTATGTGAGCTCTTCCTTGGGAGATGTCCAACGTTTCCAGTTACGCGCTTCGAATGGCCCGGCTGAGTGCTCAGATATTTGGAGAAGTTGTCAGGCCAACTGACTCAAAATCCATGAAAGTAGTGAAGTTATTCAGCGAGCAGCCTCTGGCCAAGCAGAAGGAGGTCTACAGCTGGTATCCTCCTCACAACACCTACTATGCCCTCATGAAGAAACTCCGTTACTTTGGTCTCTACAGGTAATCTCTATGCTTATGGGGTGGGCGCACGACTGGAGATGGGAAACTGGTGGGTGTGGGTTTTGCTAACAGGATTTTTTCCTCAAGGAAAAGAGAAAACATAGAAAAAGGTTTGGGTTCAGAATATGGTGCAAATGGAAATATGCACTTGATTAGTGTGCTGAGAGCAAGGAGAATAAGTGGCTACTAAGTTACTGTAATTAGAGCCTTTTGTGAGAAAGACTTTAGATGTAGTTATGGGCAACCAGTTAAATAAGGAATAATTCTTGCTTTGGTTTTGTGGGGAAGGAAAGAGAGTTTTTGCATAGACAAGAGATGAGTCTGAGTATGAGTCTGAGATGAGTTCTGAGTATGGCAAAAAGATGAGCTACAGAAGGTGATGTTACCTTAACACAAAAATTGCATTAAGGCAGTCTCGCCATGTATTCCTCAGTCATTCAGTAGCAATTAAGTGAAATTTAGAAGAGTCTGTTAGGCTGGAGGGTCTTTTTTATCCTTTAAAATAAATTCAGTTCAGTTTAATTCAGATGTGGTTTAAACAGCCTTATTAATTCCAGCTTCATGCAAACCAGTTGTCTGTTTTCTAAATCAGTTTCCACAGTCTCAAATAGAAAAACTGCACTGCTCTGCTAAAGAACATCAGGAGTCAAATGCAGTCCTTGGACTTCAGTCTGTTAGCACTAAAAAATGCCTTGAAAGTGAGGCTGCTAACCCTGTAAAGTCAAAACAAATTAATTTCTATTGCTATTATCTCAATACTAGCCATTAAGGATTGCATCTAGGATGCTCTTGGTTTAGGAAGGCATGCAAGTGCTTTCTAGAATAGCAGCTTGTTGACACAGAAAGCCTCAACGACATGATAATGTACTTTGCTTTTCTCCTTCCCCTCGTAATCTCAAGTTCCTTCTCTAGCTGCTCTGTATACAGAGAGTTTGTAGAGGATCAGTTTTCCTGGCCAGAAATATGTAACAAATAGTTACAGGCTAATAGGGCCTGATAATAACTCACAAGATTTTCTTGCCTTTTTTTTTTTTTTTTAGAAAAGTTATGTTTAAAGATAGCAGTGCAGCAATCTTAGGCCACTTAGGATGCAACTGTGAGTTTTGAAAAATAACTTTGCACTGAAAAATATATGGGCAGCAATTACATGGAATTTATTAGAACATTATTGAGGATTCATTATCTCTGCCAAACCCTTTATCCTCCTCCCTGTTTTATTCTTAAGATACTACCAGTACTGAAGCTTTCTTCATAACTCATTCTTGAAGTCACCCGAGAGCGGTGTCATGTACTGTAATTACTGCTCAACATGCCCCTGTTTTCTTAGAAGCTAATGACCTGAACTTAGTATCTAGCACAGAAACACCATGTGCTGTTTCTAGGCTACGGAGCTAGATGAGGAGAAATTCTTTCTTGTGTCTTTCTGATTTGTGTATTTTACTGTTCATTTAAACACAGTGGATCAATAAATGCAACAGGTATAGTCATATATATGCACAAAGTATTTGTTGCTGAAAAGGGCAACCTTGTTAGTTCTGAAAGTACTGGAGGAAATCTTCCACGTTATGCAGTCCAAAATTACTTCTAGCAGTAACATCGAAAGCATTGCAGTGAGTTTCAATGTGGACTTCACTGTTAGGAAAAGTTTTGAGGTTTTCTTTTTTTTCATTATCATACAATTTAAAGAACCTTTCACATTTACATATCCCAAGAAATAGTCAACTGTGTTCCTTCCTCCCATCTAGGGATGAGCATCAGGACTTCAAGGAGGAGATGAGGCGACTGAAAAAGCTCCGTGGGAAGGAAAAACCAAAGAAGGGGGAAGGAAAGAGAGCTCTCAAGAGGAAATAGTGACACTTGGACAATGTAACGAACTACTCTGGAAATGCTGGAGAGCAGCTGTAACCCAGGTTTTCTGTTCCCAGCTGGAGAGGGCTTGGCACATGAGCTGCGTGTGGGGCACAAGAAACACACTGTGAAATGCTGGAGTCCACCTTGGGAGTGCATTTGGGCCTTTGCAGTTTTACTGGTTTTGAATTTCTGTAGTTTAAATATACTGTATATTGTAGCACGTTAGTTTTTCAGAGCCCTCTCTTGCCTAAATAGTAAAAGCAACAGTACAAAAAAAAAAAGTGCTCGGTATTTTTCTTGCAAACACATCTGTAGCTGTTTCTTTTTTTCTGGATTTGGAAAATTGCTTGCTTTTCATTCTGTTTTAATTTTAAGAAATTAAATCTAATTAATTTCTAAAGAAATTAATCTAAGGATTAATGGTGATGCTGTTTTGCATGTGGCCAAAAAAAAAAAGATTTCCTGCTTCTACTGCTGTTTGTCGTCTTGCCTATTACAATGAGTTTCAGTTCAGGTAGCTCTTAATTATTTTTTTTAAGTTTCTGTTAGAGTCTGTTGTTCTGCATCTTGTACTGGACAATACTTCATGGTCCATTGGCTGCCCACAGCACTCTCATTGTATCCTGAATATTTGGATACTGCAGGAGAGGAGGCTGAAATGTGAAGGCTCAGACTTTTCCAGTTTGAGACCCTCTCCTAATTAAAATACAATATTAGAGTTTACTGTAATAAAAGGATTTTTAATTTATTTTGACTGCCAGGAGGGACACGTATTAAGTACTTCATAAGGTGCTGAACAGTTTTTACTGGTATTCAGTATATGGTTTTATCACTAGGCTCCTTCAGTATTGCACATATTGACTGCGTGCATCTGCCGTTCTTACCTGTCAGTCCCTGTCAGGGAATAGGAAGTACAGAGAGCAGCTGTGCTGTGCTGCCAGACCACGTGTGCATCTTGCCAGTGTGGGACCTGAAACAGCATCTTTTCACTTCCAGACTGCGTAAGCTTAGGGGAACATCTCTGAGGTAGTAAAGGGTGCTATTAAAAATGTAGAGTGACAGGAGCAGGAGGTATTTGCACAGTTAGCTTGATTTGATGTACAGAGGCATTCTGAAGTAGGGAGCAGCACTGACCTGCTGACATTTCTGACCCAAACTTGTTGAAATTCAGTTGTATTTGAAGGGCTGTCTGATCCTTGAAATCAGTGGATCCACATAAATTTGTAACAGCTCAACAACTGTACTTCCAGGTTAATAAGTGAAGAGGTGCTGATTGTATTAAAGGTGTTTCTGGTGAGCTGTGTAGTTCTTGTTCAGTATCCTTCCTCAGTGTTACCGGGTGCTCTGAGCTGGTTTTGGAAAGTCTGCAGTGTTGTGGGAGAAACACCTGAGTTCTTACCACAGCCAACAAAATGCCATGGAAGTTAGCAAAATATGTATCTGCTCAGTACTGTAGCAGTTTCTCTCTTAGTCTAATTTAAAATCCTTCCAGTAGCTTAAAACATTTGCTCAACTCCAAAGTGCCTGTGGCATTTCAGCGTTCTGTGGGTTGCGACCCACCTGGCACTGAAGTGTACAGTGCATGTGGTGGGCCCTCTTGAGAAGTACTCAGTTCCTGGGACGCGTGCGTGCAGTTTAGGGGAAGCGATCCAACTCCCTCGAATTCCTCTTCAGGAAGAAGAGCAGCATGGAGCCACATACAAGGTAGGAGATGGAATTGCTGAAGGAGGACGGCTGCTGCTCCCTGCCGTGTTTCTGGCTATGGCCATGCGGTGAGTTGCTCAGCTGCTTGCTTTGGTGGAAGGACCAGTTCTGAAGTTGTTCAGCAGAACTGCTGCAGCACCTTTGGACAGCTGGTGATTGTAGTTACAACAGCTTTGTGGGCCAGAACTTGATGTCTTCTAAAACTAAATCAAAGATGAAGGAAAGTCTTTTCACTGCGATTTAAGATGAAAAATCAACAACATCTTTTTTTTTGTTTCTGTAAAGCATTTAAAGCTTTGACAGTACAAACATGCAGGAGAAAGTGCGCATGCATCAAAATGAATTATGAATGACAAATGCTGCAATAAACATGGCCTCGAACTTTGTGTGTGTGTGTAGACTTGGTTACGAGTATACAAATAATTATATATAAAATAGTGAGCATCTATCTACAGAGCCTACTGAAGGCAAAGAATGCTACAAGTCTTCTGTAGCTTGGCATGCCACCTTGCTAGACCCAGGTACGGACTCAGTAGGGTAATATTGGATAATTAATTAGGCGTGGAGGTCAGATCTGTTGTTCCTTGTGTACTCCAACCCACCTAGCTATTTAAGGATTTTGAGCAATTCCTGTCAGGGATGGGAAAGTGAAAGATGTGTTTGGGTAGTCATCTATAATGATCCACTTCGTCTGCAACCTGCCAGAGCAAACCTGCTCTAGAATCAAAGTGTCACCCTGGGAACATACTTTGGGAAGATACTTAGAGCAGCATCTCCAAACAGGGAGAGAAACTGATGGCTGAAGTGCGTGTGAAGTAAGCAGATGTGAGACAAACGGACTGAATTGTTGATTCATCATTTCACTGCAGTGTTTACAAAAGCAAAGCAGATGGAGCAAAAAAATAACTTTAAAAAAAAGTTGCATAAGAATGGCTCCCCTGCCTAATTTTTCATGGTTTTCTGTAGTACTTAATTGCTAGAACTAGGTCTTCTCAAAAATAACTGTTTCTCCTCCCTTGAGACTTCACCGTTAAAAAAAAAGATGATTCTGCCATTATTGGGGTATATCGTAGTATTAGGATAATCTATTGCTTGCTGGGAGTGTTAGCGTAGCTATTTTGTTCCAGAAAATAGAAGCTTCTCCTCTTCATACCTGTGACACAGATAACTTTTCTAGCTCCTCTCTAACCCATGCTCTGTCATTTAGAAGTAGACATTACCTGAAGAAGACCACATTTTGTGATTCACAAGGTCAAGACAAATTGCAAGTCAGTCCTGAAACATCACCCCAGGTATCAGTGCAGTGTGTGCATTTAGGAGGGGAATTAGAGTTTCAGCCATGCTCTGAGGAGTAAGCATGGGAACACTGAATGCTTCATACAGCTGTTGGTGCAGTGGTGTGTCCATTTTACGTACATAGTTAGATTTTTACTTTTGGCTTTCCCTTTGAATGGTGAAAACTCATGGTAGACTCTATTGTGTTTTGATACAAAATTTCCTCTTTTCCTGAGGGTGCGAGCTGACTGTCCTTGGCAGATATTTAAGTGGGTATTTTAATTCTTGATTGGAATAAACCTGGCTAGCTGATCTCTGAGGGACTGAGAGTTTACGCCCTAACCTCTTCCAAGTCCTGAGCAGTTTTATTAAGTACCACTGCTTTCTAATTTTACAGTGTTTTAGTAATGTCTGTCTTTAATTATACTCTCGTATACATAGTCTTAGCTGTTGAGTAGTGCCTCTATAATCATAAGTTGGTTGTAAACAGGCTGACCCAGTTGCTGTATATGCCTTATAGGGAGTGTAACTATTGCTAGAACCTCTTAGTATTGAAAGTCCTGTAGACAGGCAGAAATTCACTTGCATATGACTGTACTTTGTAACGGTGGAGGGGAAAAAAATAAACCAACCACAAAAGGCAGTCTTGCTTTCTGGCAAAGGTACCGGTGTGTTAAAATATATGTGCTCTGCTTAGGATATTAACTTGAAAGAAGTTTCTTCTAATGTGGAATGAGTTTATTCTACTTACTAAAGCAATGCACTGAGTTTACACAGGTAAGTGAAATGCACCTGAGTTACTCTACAGTTTTAGACAAATGCTTTGTCTTACTCGCCTGTGTTTCCTCAAGGGTAAAATTAGAATAATCATTGCTTAATGAATAACACCACAAGGGTAAGCTACTTCTAGGATGGGCATTTAGCCTGTGAGAACCTTATGTAAAGAGTAGCTTAGTTTGGCTATGGTAGGACTTGTACCTCTGTGTATTTTTGAGCATTATTTCAGACAGATGATTGTATACGACAGTTGATGACATTTTTAACGCATAAAATAAGCTGTGGTACATTCCTGTGTTCGTTGTTCTGCTTTAGATGTTAGAGACTTTAAATTCTGAAAAAATGGTCAGTAAAATAAAATCATCACAGATTCTTCTTAAACTGTAAATATTTTTTAAATTTTAAAGTATCTGTGTACATGTTCCTCTACCACTTTGAGTCTGAAGGCCATTTCAGGATCATTTTAAAATACATCAACAAAGTCTGTATGTTTTGAAAAAGCTTCACAAATCTGAAAGGCTGCTTTGAGGGAATGACTGTTCTGTATGTTTTTTCTTTCTTTCAAAGCAAAGTATAATATGCAAAGAAATGTGCTATGGAGATCTCAGAACTGAGTTTAAAGGAATCAGTCCTCTGTAACTGTTTGATTGTGACACTTCTTGTACAGTCCCTTGGGAGCAGATCTTTGAAACAAAATCCTTGAAGAGGGATGTTCAGTGCTGATAGAGATGTGTGTGAGAGCAGAAACTCTTCCTGTTTAACCTCTTATAGGGACAGCATCATTTCTCAAACTGTCCAAACAACAATGGAAAACTCTAAGGTTCCAATAATAATTAAAAAACATAACTTATTAGGCTTATAAGAGGAAGCAAAAATGAAAACAATACCCTTACTATAAATCCTAGAGGTAAAACTTAAATCATGTGTGTGGGGCAGATATTTAGAGTGGATCTTTCTGTGCCTGCACAGCTGCAGTAGCATGAGGACAGGCATTTTCATCTCTACACTTCTTTCTCCTTCTCGCTTTTCCTTGCCCTTTACCTCAAGTGTAATAATAATGTCTTGAGTACATGGAGGAAAGAACGTACATGAAAATATCTGGAAGAATTTGCTTGTGAAGGCTCAGTCACAGCAGAGCACAGCTATAGTGTGTCCAAATGGTGAGGAGCGTGCCTGTAAGACAGATGTTACGCATTACCACCATGCTGCTTGATAAATTATTTAGGGTTGTTTAAAGGGATAAATGTGAAATCAACAGGATAACAATCATGACATCAAGGTG